CATGTTTTCTCATGACAAGAAAACTATACGTGGTGTTTTTTACATTAGTGATATCAGTAATTTGCAGAGATGGGCAGGCTGTTGAATTTTACAACACTTCCCATTTAAATGTAAGAAAACAAGAGTCCAGCTCTTGTGATGTACTTTATCTTTGTGCGTGTTCCTATTGAGCTGTATATTTTTGTTACTTCTGGGGAAATAAAATCACAATTAAAGGTCAAGCAAACAGAAAGCCAAACAACTTTGGAGGGAAGACATAACTTAATACCACTCTCCACACATGCAGGAAAGAAGTATGACTCCATTTGTAGGAACAAAGTACCTTCCTGATTTCATGAAGCACACTAACGTTCTTCATCAGAACTGATGTTCTGATTACTGTAAAATAATTACTTAAAATATTTAGGCAAACAGTGTCCAAATTAATTCCAATTACTTTCTTGTGGTAGCACTCAAGGTTTATAGCAGTAGATTAAATTGGCTGCATATGGCTAATTGCCTATAATAATGTTTGTTACTGTGGTGCCTCTTACCACTGATGTCTGTTTCTGCAAACGTGAATGTCTGCATGTAACTTTACATGCAGGAGGAAACCTCTTCTGAACAGAACAGAATTAGTTCTGTGAGTAGAATTTCTAGTGTAACTAAGTATTTGCAGAATCACAGTATGTAGCAAATAACTCTGGGAAATCTGTAATAAAAGCAGTGGAACCACAAATGCCTGCCTCTGCGGGCAAGATGTGTTAAGGTTTAGCTCTCACTTGACTTGGATGAAACAACGTATCAATTCATTAGGAGTGGCTGGCCTGAAAGGGAGGCTGGGTGTTAGTTTTTGTTGGCGGAAGTTTAGGTAGGGGTTGTGTTTTATTTGAGGTTGTTGTGGGTTAGCCGCTGATTTTTGCTGGATTCTTTTTCCATATATCTGTCAGAGGCATTTACTGCACAAGATAGTCATGTTTTTGCATGTTTTTCGTAGATTTGATTTTAAACCTAAATTATTTAAATAAATGAAGATGCACCACACAGGCCAAATTTCCTGCTGGGTAGGTTGGCCCACTCTGGTGGAGAATTTGACTTTGCCTTCTTAAGATATGTGAAGACTCTAATGTCTTTGGGGCCAAAGTCAACTTCAGGTGTTACCATGAATAATTATAAAATTAAGTGGAACATAAGTGAGTATAAAGACATCTGAGGTTAGAAAAGCATGTGATCTCATGGTTAACATTAAATGTGTTTGGAGTGGAGGCAGCTATGGCAAAAATAGACCCCACAGCTAGCTGCGCATATACCCATTATGGTGGAGTATACAGTCAATTACGTCTGCTTTCAGAGCACAAAATCCTGCCTCTCTACAGAGCCATCAAAAAAGGAGAGGGTGTGAAGGAGAGGAAGGCTTATATGATTATTTTTGTTGTTGTTGTTCCTAAAAGATGGCTGAATTAGGGCTCAACTTAGATTGTACAAACTCTTAATGCCATTAGGTCAGTTCACCCTCCTCTTGACTGGTTTCAGTCTGAAATAAAGCAAAGCATGTTTTTCCTCCCCAAAATGAAAGTCAAATGGAAACAAATGCCTTTGTGGGTTCTTAGGGAAAGGAAAAACAGTGAAATGGAAAGTCTCACTTTGCATCAGTCACAAAAACAGAGTGAAGAGAGATGGAGGGACAGTCTTTTATCTAAAGCTAAGTGGTTACATGTCACTTGCAGTGTGGAAATTTGAGATGAGAACTTTTGCAGGCACAAAATTGCTCTAAATCTTCTTTGCTGGTACCAAAGAGTATGTGCAGGGAGGCTTTTCTCAGTCTTTTCCCCATTGCTGCTGCTTCCTGCTCATGAGAAAGTATTTGCTGGGAGTGATGGTACCATTCCCTGTTTGGCTCCCTGTCCCTTTCTTTTTGTGTGTGTGTGTGTTTTTCCTGGTTTACTGGGTATGTTTGCAAACTGGTAGGGCAGAAAAGATCATGACTTGAAGATGTAGTACAGTGCTCTGACTGTTCCGAGTCCTTTTCTCTATAGCAAGAGACACAGGTTTCCTCCTGAGGCAGAGAAGGGAATTGCAGCAAGATCTTCCACATCCTGGTTTCTGGATTTCAAATAAAAGTCACTAACACTAAATTTATACTGCTGTTAATAAAGATTAACCAAATAAAAAAATTGGTCTGCCATACATTTCAGGGTTTTATAATTGGTGAACTGTTGGTTATTTTCCATGAGTGTTGCTTTGTCATTAGAATGTTTAATTTTATCATAATCTTTTATAATAATACATCTTTCATTGATGGTGAACGTTGCGTTTCATGGACAACTCTTCCAAATGAAAGCCCAACCCATCAGAGTACTAGTAATGCTCTTTAAAAAAAAACTGGGAAAGGACATTTTAGAGGAAGTTCTCTTCAGTGAAACAGGGACCAAGATATACCAGTGACTTGAGAAATAAAATGATTTTCCTTATTCTCCTGAAGTCTTATATTCAGCCATAATACAGGGATACAGGGGAGGACCTAAAAAAAGCTAGGAGGATTGGCCAGGTTAATAAATGGTTAAAAGGGTGGTGTCATAGTCAGGGGTTTGGGTGTCTTGAACACGGGACCCAAGTTTGTAGGCCAGGTCTAGTGGGGGCTGGTGGAGCTGGTCTGATAAAGAAGGGAAAGAGCAGTTTTGGTAGGAGGCTTGCCAGGCTGGTCAAGGAGGCTTTAAACTAGATGTGCTGGGGGAGGGGGGCATCATTCCACCCCAACACACCCAGTCAGTTGCCAGCATATATAATAATAAATGCTCGCAGCAATGTAGAGATATCCCAGCCGCTCCAGCCAATGAGCCGGCTTCAGTTGGAGCTCAGCTCAGATGCCTCTATGCAAATGCCCGTAGCATGGGGAACAAACAAGAGGAATTAGAGATGTGGGCACGTCTATGGGGGTATCATATAATAGACATCACAGAAACATGGTGGGATGGCTCCTATGACTGGAGTGTTAGAATGGAAGGTTACAGGCTCTTTAGAAATGACAGGCCCGGCATGCAGGGAAGGGGGGTTGCCCTTTATGTTAGGGATAGGCTGGAGAGTATGGAACTCTGTCTGGGGACAGGTGAGCAGTCCACAGAGAGTTTGTGGGTCAGGGTTAAAGGGAATATAGCTATGGGAGACATTACTGTGGGGATCTGTTACAGACCGCCTGATCAAGGAGAACCTGCGGATGAAGCACTCCATAGACAGATGGGAAAAGCCTCACGCTCACAGGCCCTTGTTCTCATGGGTGACTTCAACCACCCTGACATCTGTTGGAAGGACGGTACGGCCCGGCACAAGCAATCCAGGAGGTTCCTCGATTGTGTAGAAGACAACTTCCTTCTGCAAGTAATAGAGGATACGACAAGGAGAGGTGCCATGCTTGACCTCGTGCTCACCAACAGGGAAGGGCTCGTTGGAAATGTGACTCTCCAGGGCAGCCTTGGATGCAGCGATCAGGAGATGCTCAAATTTGAGATCCTCAGGACAGTGAGAAGAGCGTGCAGCAAGCTCACTGCCCTGGACTGCAAGAGAGCAGACTTTGGCCTCTTCAGGAACCTGCTTAGGAAGGTTCCATGGGATACAGCCCTAGAGGGCAGAGGGGCCCAAGACTGCTGGTTGATATTCGAGGATCACCTGCTACAAGCTCAGGAGCGTTGCATCCCAACCAGAAGGAAGTGCAGCAGGAGGGACAGGAGACCTCCTTGGATGGATAAGAAGCTGCAGAGGAAAATTGAAATGAAAAAAGAGGCTTATAAAAAGTGGAAGCAAGGACAGGTGGCCTGGGAAGAGTACAGGGATGTTGTCCGGGAAGCTAGGGAGCAGGTTAGGAAAGCTAAGGCCCAGTTAGAATTAAACTTAGCTAGAGGTATTAAAGATAACAGGAAGGGATTCTACAAGTACATAGCAAATAAAAAACAGAGTAGGGAGAATGTAGACCCCCTCAGGAAGCTCTCAGGAGAACTGGCTACCCTGGATTTGGAGAAGGCCGAGGTTCTGAATGATGACTTCTTTGCCTCTTTCCTGTGCGGGTGGTGAGGCACTGGAATGGGTTGCCCAGGGAGGTTGTGAATGCTCCATCCCTGGCAGTGTTCAGGGCCAGGTCGGACGAGGCCTTGGGTGATATGATTTAGCGTAAGGTGTCCCTGCCCACGGTAGGGGGGTTGGAGCTAGATGATCTTAAGGTCCTTTCCAACCCTAACAATTCTATGATTCTATAAATGCTGTCTTCTGTCACCTTTTACCAAGGTTTTGTATACTTACTATTAAGTCTGTTGTTTTAAACTCTGTGAGGCAAAGATAGATATCTATTTTATGGTCTAGTTGCTTCATGCAACAAGTTGTAGCTGCCCAAAATCCATATTAATCATGCTAAGTCTATCAAAATGCAGTGCAGTGCCATGCTATCTATGGGAAGTAATATAAATTCAACTAAGTATCAGCATTCATCTTGGAAAGAGCTAGGTGCACATAAACCTTAAAGCTTCTGTTTATCCAAACCAGAAATTTAGAGTGTGTATGTGCAGGCATGGATGCACACATGAACACAAATGACAAAAATTCCTACAGTTTTGTTAATCCTCTAGGTATCTGGTCCATCTCTGTTAAAACAAGCCTTGTTTGGCAGTTAAAAAGAAAAACAATAGTAAAAGAAAATTAAAAAAAATAAGGAAACCTAAGTAATTTAACCAAAGAATTCTCTTTTCCTCCTGCTGATGCCCTAAATTCGTTGCTATTATTGTAATTTATGCTGGCAGTGCTGTGTAGTGACCAGGGATGGACAGGGTGTGGTAAATGACCAGTGCTGCTTTTAAAGTGAACCCTAAAAGTGTTTGTTGAACTGCAGAGAAGGAATCTCTCCAGGAGTATCAGGCAAACATGTTTTCAGGAGCACTAGATCTCTTCCTAGTATGTGTGTTACATGTGCGCAAAAATAGCTATGTATGTTGTTAAGATACAGTAACATGTGTTTCTGTTTTTTGTATTCTCTACAGGTATGGGAAAATTGTATCCACAAAGGCAATTCTTGACAAAAACACAAATCAGTGCAAAGGTATGTGCAAAGCGTCCGCCCTCTGAGTTCATTGTCTGTTTGAATGATTGACTGGTAGCTTGCCTGCCAAGGCTTTTGCTCCAACTGTGCAATCAACATAATGTACAGTATATTACAAGCATATTTAATAATGCCACAGCTTTGAGTTGTGTTTCCAGTAACATTGCTCATTAATTTTTTTCATTAACAAACAAAATGAAAATCACAAATCAGAACAAGTATCAAATTGCTTCGGCAGAAAAGTAAATCACCTTCTAACCACATAGTGTTGTCTGATTTGAATGATATTATCAGTGATGCAAATTGATTTCCCATATAAAACTGTGAAACCTTTGGGAAAAGTTTCCCAAGCAAAACCTGGTTTATTTTTTCCTATTTTTGTGAAGTCTTGGGCTATACTATTGCAAGAATATATTCTTTATGACACACACAGATCCACAGGTTGTAGTACGGTGATACAAAAATGATTCCTCTTCCAGTTTTGTTCTTAATTTTCTTACTAATTTATGAAAGCCTTTTTTAGTGAAGTATGTTTTGTGCATGTGTATAGCTATATTTGCCTAGATAAATATTGACTAGTATGTCTAGTAGCATCTCAGGACTAGAGTTGTTGTTCATTTACCAGTCTGAAGAGCCATGAACCCTATGGGGGAGAAGCTGTGCTTTGAAAAGACTCTGTAACTTTATGCTAGTAGTATACAGGATCCTTTTGCAGTAGTAAGAACTACTGGAGTGTGTTCTTCTGATAAGAAGCAGATTCTGGACAGCATTTCTATGTGAATTAGTGAAAAAAAAACCAAACCATTGCCGTACAGGAATACATTTAATGAGTGACCAGATAAGGCTGTGAAGAGAAGCAGCAAAGGCATTTGAGGAAATTATGAGATGAGGCAAAATCCTGCCATCTGTACCAGAGGTGTTCTTGAAACCTCTAGAAGTGTGTGCCTTTATTGCCTGCCAGCAACAGCATCCATTAGTGACTGAAGGGAAAAATAAGTTAGAAGACTGCAATTTTAGTCCTAGAAACTGTCAACAATCCCATCAGTCATGGCCCATCTCTGTGGCACTACCATGCATTTACTTTCGCCTGATTGTGCGTTTTCTTTCCTGGGACCTCTTCTGATAACATTACTCTCTATTTCTTTGATTACCTGTCGTGGTTTAAACCCAGTCAGGTAACTCGTTCACTCACTCCCCCCCGCTTTCCCTCCCCCTACTCCCGGAGGGAAGGAGAGGAGAATTGAAAAGAATGCAACTCCCACAGGTTGAGATAAGAACAGTTTAGTAACTAAGGTATAACACAAATCACTACTGCTACCACCAATAATAACAATGATAAAGGAAATAACAAAGGGAGAGAATACATCACCTCACCACCAGCCGACCGATAACTCGCCCAACCCATACCTCCTCCAACTCTGCAGTCCCAGCCCTTCTGACTCCCAGTTACATCCTGGGCATGACGTGCTATGGTATGGAATTCATCTTTGGCTAGCTTGGGTCAGGTGTCCTGTCTCTGCTTCCTCCTGGCTTCCCCTCCTCCCTGGCAGAGCATGAGGCTCACAAAGTCCTTGGCCAAACCAAAACATCATTGTTATCAGCACTGTTCCCGAGCTGAAAGTCAAAACACAGCACTGCACCAGCTACCAAGGAGGAGAAAAATGACTGCTACTGCTGAACCCAGGACATTACCACACCAGGATCAAGACTTGGTTTGTTTTGTTGTTTTTTTTGTGTTTGGGTGATAGGTTGGGGTATTTTGCTTTGGTTTTGTTGGCATTTTTATTGTATTATGAAGGAATACCCTTGTGGGAAGACACGCTAGGCCAAGTGCAGAAAGCCCTGGCAGGGTGGCCAGCTGGGCACAGAGGTGAGCCTTGCAGTTTTGGAGCTGGGAGGAGATAGACATGCCTGCTGCTGGCTGCTGCATGGCTGGAAGGTTTGTGTTGTGGAGACAAGATGCAGCATGAAGTGCTGTAAGGAGAGGGGGACTTGGAGCATGATAGAACTACAAAGGGCTGAGTGGATCAAGTGGGTTCTTAAGTGGTTTAGCAAGGAGGAAAGAGTTCTGTGGTGGGACAGGAAGGGTTTTAGGGTAGGAGGGCTTGAGGATGAGGTTCTGGGGTGGGAAGGTGTTAGACCATAGGCCTAGGAGATCTGGAGGGGTCTCGTGGGGAATGAGAAATAGAAACTACATGATCAGGTAGGCTGGGGTTATCCTGGGGCCACACTTCGCTGTCTTACACTCCAGCTAAGAACTTCCCTTGGGGACAAAGACATGTAGGTCCTTGTCTCCCTTCCCACTACTATACAAGACTGACATGTTCTCTGTTAACTCATGTGTCAACTCTATCTCTTTTCTGAAATTTGTCCCTCTGGAATGGCAGCACAAATCAAGCAGATGGAGTTGAATTTGAACGGGACTGTATGTTGAATAATGGGATGAAGCCTGTGGGAGAGGGAAATGTATTTGTTTCTGCTTGGTTGTCTGAAACCTCTGTGATGTTGGTGCAGATGCTTCAACTGGGTGCTTGAAGGGTGGTGGAGAGAATTTGGGGTAAGCGTGCTCAATGATTGTTCTAAACTTTTTGGGGTATTTTTAAGTGTATGTGTGACTCCACAAATGTGCCGTGTGATCAGAACGTCCTGTTCCCATTGCCAGTGGTAAACAAGGAAAGGAATGGATCTATTTGTGAAACACAAAGTGTAAAATGAAAGGACTGTCAAAAATATGAATGTTAAGAGTTTCAAGAAAGAGAAACATCTGGGTTTGGTGTTCTTCATATTGCAGTTAGATTTGAAATTATTGTAGTAGAGGTTATGTAACAGTGAGTTGGAACTTTGTAAAAGTTTGCTTTCACGCTGTTGTATTACACTGTAGGGCAGAGATATTTATTTGTATTTTCAAAGATGGATCTTTATGTCTTAAGTGGTACCATTAAAAGATCATAAACATAATTGGATTTATTAACAGTATGCTTTGTGGCATAAAAAAAAAAAAGTAGATGTTTTGCTGCTTTAAATGCTAGCGACAATTTCCTTCTTCAGTAAGGCTACCAAAAAAAACCAAAAAGCAGGCTTCCCAGGAATCAGAAGTGGAAGGGACCTGAAAAGGTTGAAGAGGTCAGGACCTGCCTTGGGGCAGGATCAGCTCTAACCCACTGCAGAGGGTTGTTTCTGTAACCTTAGCTCAAATGCCTCCAGCAACGGAGATTCAAGCTCCTGATAGTACTCCCTCTCTTCACTATAATGAAGTGTTTCCTAATGTCTAATCCTAATCTTCCTTGATGCAATTTAAGCCTGTTGCTTCTTTGCTTTTCCCTTGTGGAGATGCAAAACAGTTTATTCCTTTCCTCTTTGCAGCAAACGAAGACTGCTATGTGTCTGCCATATATTTTCCTTAGATTTTATCACTGGTCCTTACACTTTTTCCTTAGAGCCAATTTGTTTCAAGTTTCTGGTTTATAGCACTTTGCAGGTCTCTCTGCAATTATCTCACTTCATGAAGACCTTAGAGCCAGGCATGGGATATCAGATGACCTAAATCCTACCATTTAAAATAGTGTGGAGAGATAATTTAATTTGTCATCTTTGTGATCACATGACTGTTCTCTTTGCTGATGCATCCATGTAGATAGCTATATGTATTTAAGATATAGATACCTTTACTGAGGCATGGGCTGTTGCATGCGAACAATAGTGCCGATTTATGCAAAGAGATTTGCTGCAGCCTCTGGTTCTGTTATTGTTTTCTCCAGTGCTGCTGCCAGCCAGGCATTCCTTATTGTGTACTCTGCTTGTGCTGTTGATTATTCCCTCTTAAAGCTAGTACTTTTCAATTGTCTGCATTGAATTTTATCCTATTTTTTCCTGGCTACTCCTTAATTTGCTAAAATTATTCTCTAATCTTAAATCTTCAGAGTAGTTGTAGCACTTACCTCTCTAGTATCCTCTTCACAGTTAATAAATGATTTCTCTAATCCACTGGACAAGATAATTTGGAAAAGACTGAATAATAACAGACCTGAGGATAATTTTTGAGGAAACCCTCTCAAGTATACTGGGTAGTACAACACTGAGCTGTTGACAACTTCTTTTTAGATTGTATTTTCCAAATAGTTTGGCACTTACATAACAGCAGTTTTAGCTAGATCATATTTCTGCCATTTGCTCAAGTTATGAGTGACAACCAAGGATTAACTAAAAACTGCAGTATTTTCCTATCCATAAGGCTAGTTACCTCTACTAGACAGAAGCATGATGTGACATTTATTCTTGCTAAATCCATGCTGCATGGTATTAATCATGTGTTACCTTTGAGGGTCTGTGAATGGATTTATATGACTATTTGCTATAAGATGTTTCCAGAAGTTGAATGTGTTTCTAATACACAGGAGTCTACATCCATTCCCTAAAAATAAAACAAATACTAAAAAAAAACCAAAAACACCCTAAAATAAAATTATCTTCAACAACAAAAAAACAAAACCCAGGTAACTTGTTTATTCCTCTCCAGTCTTCTGGGTCTTGCTCACCTTCTGCAAAGTATGTGTTATTAAATGAACACATCATCCTGTGATGTGTATCCAAGGCAGTAGTGTGGACTAAATTCAAGGAGATCGTAGAAGAAGTTATCACATGATTGGAGATTTTGGATTATATTTCAGGGTCATTTGTGTGTTGACCAAAGAACAGAGTAGAGCTCTATACTTTGGAGAATGTGGAAAATAGTTAATATAACAAAGAAATTATTTTAAATAGCCCATGTAACAGCAGATGTGTTAAAATAAGTTATTGCTTAGCATGAAGTGTTAGGTTTCCTTTTGAAAAAATGAGGAAAACATTCTTCATTGGGCTTTAAGTCATTCTCCAGTATTCCTCAGATTTTTAAAAGGATACCCACTACATTCCTTTCATGCTAAGGAATAGTGCTATATGAGGATTTCTCCCTGTTATGAATTAAGCAGTCCAGTCTAAAGTAATCATATATGCTGCAAGGG